AAAAAAAAAAAAAAAAAAAAAAGAATGGTGTGTACAGGTGTCTGTACCGGCAGCTGATATGGGGGATGTGAGTCGAATGTTCTCTTGGTTATTTCCAGTTTTGAAAAGTTTTGTTATTTAATTTCTTCCAAGGAGAAAGAGAGTGCGTGGGCATGTGCATGAGACAGATGGGGGAAAGAGGGGCCCCTGGACAAGGGCACACCCTGCTGCAAGTTCCTGCCTTCACCCTCTGTTAGCCAGGACAGTGGTTCTCACTGCTCATGGGCAGGGCAGGTGCTGCTGGAGGCCGCGAGGCAGGCACAGATGGTCCAAGTATCTCCCGCACTGTAGGTCAGAGTGGTTCACACCGACTTGGAACCCACCCCTGTGGTCAGGGGTACGCTACCACCGAGCCACCCCCGGGCCAGTTTTGCTTTTTTAACAGGAGTCTTTTTCTCCTGCCCTCTCCAAGGAAAGTCCCAGATGTTGGCTCTCCTGCCAGCAGACGCTCACACGGCCACTGGGCGGGTGCTCTCCTGCCAGGTGACTCTCTCAGGATGGTCATAGGCCTGTTGGCTGGAAGAGCAAGATCCTGACTCATGGTGCTTTAAGGCAACCCTGTGGGGCTGGCAAAGATAGGGACACTGGTGGCCATGGAATTTTCTGAGTACCAGGAAGCTTGCAGATGGCCTGAAGCTTGCAAGCCCCCAGGAGAGTGTCAGGTGACCAGGAGAATCTCCCCAACCCTCACCTACCATGGCTCAGGCTCAGGAGGTTGGAACAGGCATGTGGCCTCGCCTGCTGGAGTTTGCAGCCTGCATTTCCTTAGGGCCTTACAGGGAATCTCCCCAACTCTCACCTACCATGGCTCAGGCTCAGGAGGTCGGAACAGGCACGTGGCCTCGCCTGCTGGAATTTGCAGCCTGCATTTCCTTAGGGCCTTACAGATGTGAGGTCACCAGGAAGAGGTCCATCTGGCGCAGGCAGCCTCCTGCTGGCTGGTGACTCCAAGAAGCTACGTGACCTCCCAGGGCATGATTTTTCCATCTGTAAAAAGGGGATACTGACAACTAAAACTATACCCCAGTGTCACCCGAGGAGCCGCGTGAGTGTGTGGGAGGTGGTACACACCGTGGTGAGTGCGTGAACAGCCTTGCGTATTTCATGCTTCTGGAGCCAGGACGGCTGTGGGCATCCCAGCTGGGGGCGAGGGTGGGCCGCTGGCTGGCACTGGCCATGCCGCAATCCCTTCTCTTCCATTCTCCTCTAGGGATCTTGGGCACTGGAAGGAGAGGGCCCCCTCGGTTGTGGCTTCATCCAGCCTTGCCCTTTGCAGTGTGGTGCTTGCTTTCCCCTGGGAGATGAAGGGGCAGGGGCAGGGGGAGTCCTTTGCAGGGTAGGGTTCCTGTCTAGAGTGGTCTGTACCCATCTCCCCTGGAACCTGAGGCCAAGCCAGGCCTGAGGGACACCTCAGCTCCATGCCTGGCTATTCTCTACCCAGAGCCACCTGAGGTGGCAGTTCTCCCCTGGGAGCCAGTGGGCAGGCTGACTCCAGGCAAGGCAGGTGCTGCTGGAGGCCTGAGAGGCCCGAGGAGGGCACAGACGATCTGGGTGGCTCTTGAGGCCAGGTGGTCAAGGCATAGTGTGGGCAGTGCTCTCTCCAGCATCCACAAGTGCCTCCGCACAGGCCCATTTCAGAAGATGCCCTTCACAGCTTTGCTGGGCAGGCAGGCTCCGCAGCCCTAGAGTGGAGGCAGGAGGGCAGATGCCATTCCCTCTGGAAGGCTGTGCTGGTCTCAGGTAGACTAATGAGGCCCACTGTCCACCCAGTTTGTATGCACTGTCCCTGCTGGAGCTGGGCCCAGCCAGGGACTTCCAAGCTGGGGATGGACCCAGGGCATGGGGAGCAGATTGCAGCCCTGTGCTGGCCTTGCACCCTCTGTTCT